ACACTTTCGATTCTCAGCCAGACAAAAACTCTGAACGATATAAGTGTAATATAATAATACACACCTACTCTTTTTCGTGTGTGTTTTTGGCCTGCGAAAATTGAAATTAATGTTTATTTTTGCAATGTCAGATTATTATTGCGTAGTACTTAAACAACTACATGGTTCGTATTTTAACATAAACGGTTTCGTTGTACTATCAAACCGACGTAGACCATCGTATATATATATAGCGAACTCGTTGGCACGCCACCTACATCTATACGACTACAGTCGACGATCTTCCACCCCATAAAAAGGCACTGCCCACCGTTATTTGTATTAAAACTTTGTAACGACACTACATAGGTATAGCCAGCTATTTCTGTTATAACTACAGATATCATAATAACAATACCATCGTTTTATTGCAATTTAAATGTATATGCAATTACGTTGTAGGTAATACTATCAACTTTAATTTACTCCGGACTCGATATAATCATATTATATATATATATGTTTACACACACCGGCAATAAAAAGGGAATGGGTAGATGTTTTCGTGAATACATGCGCCACGAGTGTGTATGTGTGTGTGTGTGTGTGTGTGTGTGTGTGTGTGTGTGTTTAGTGTTTACAGTGTTTATAAGCTCCGACCCGGCTTTATCAAACGAAACAGATACACAAAAAGTTATTGCGACAGTTAAAGTGCACACTTTAATACTATGATGCCGGTATAATATACATCTATATTTATTTTGTACAAGTACAATCTGTAAAATAATTCAACATATACGAATATGCGAATAAAATCAGCTTTCGACTCTATGCACACAAGGCGTCTTAAACGCTAGTATATACTGCGGTGCCGCGAATTATTAGTTGAATAAAATTCAAAATCTCCACCACCATAAGTTCTATCGACGGAAGTTACCAATCATGTTTATCCGTCACGTCTCACACATCACTTACACTTGCGATAAATCTAGTGCAGATATTCCAATAATATAATAAAAATGTCGAAAAAACTGTAAGTCTTTAATATTATGCATAGGTACAGAACGCACTTAACTTACCCCTATCTTACCCATCGCAAACGCGTTACGTAGGTACTTACGTAATAGCATCACAATTATTTTGTTACGTATAACTACCTGCGCAATGCAAAAAAGCAATAATTGTGTTTGACAGTTGTACTGCAGTGTCGATCGATGGTTGTTATAGTTGAGATAGGTTGAGAGCGTAATGGCATTCCGACTTTTAGTTATATACACGGAAAAGCTTTTTGGCATATATCAAATATGTAAACTTTCCATCTGGTTTTGACTGTCAATCTTTATATACCTATACATTATATATGTATCATATATTATTTATATATGTGCAGTATATGTGTGTACGTAGTGGGTACGTACAACATAAATATTATATATATATACATATAATTTTCACACATATATATATATATTATATAATATACTTAAATACACATAATATACATTATACATCACCGGGACAATTGACAGACTTGATGGTTAGTGATTATCATAAAAATTACTACACAAAACGTTTCGAGTTCCATTAAAAAATGTTATAAACAATTTACCATAATGTGCCCTAAATTCAGATTCACTAAAAAAAACTTCTGAATGTCTGTATTTTTATAACAGAAATAAAATCGAACACACGTTAAATAGGTACACGAGGAGTCGCACACCGGTTTAGGAACAAAACTTTCAATTGGAACTTAATCAAACTGTACCCGAACATTATGGGAATATTTTGAAACCGATTAAAATTAGAAACTACATGACGAAAAATAGAACTTCATTTTAACATTTTTATCAGGACGTTATAGTTTTTTTGTTATATTATGAAGTTCCTGTACGATATAATGTTGGGGCAGTATGTGCGTATTGTAAAAATGTAATAATTTTAACTTTGAAGTAAAGTGGAAATTAATTTGTATTTGTAATTAATTAATTATATTTGTATCACGAGTACTTTATGGTAGCAGATACGAAAAATTCATGATATTAACTCAAGCCTTTATGGCTGAAGAAAATCAAGAAGAAAACTTGGATAATAAAGCCAGATGCATAAAAGATTATGGGTTCCGAAATCAATACAATAAGTATAGAGTCCCTAATTACTATAGCTATTATTAATTTTATATTTTCATTATTAAAATCATAATTGTACATATTATTGTTTGAATAGAAGGAGAACTCCAATCAACTCATACAACATACACAATACTTGTTATTATACTTTGTTGTGTTACATTGTTTTTGGGTGTACATTACACGATTTTGTAATCTCCTGCCGTTATCGTTGCAGCTATAAAATATGTAAACCCAATAACTCGAATACAATAGGTATTATCTCTTTCACAAATATAATACATAAAATGTATAGCTACTATACATAAATAAATTATTATACTCGTTTGACTCTAAAATGCCACATTAACGATTTTCTTATAAAATCATTGAATTGATTATTTCTTTAATTATGTAATTAAGTTAGTTAAAGTTAGTAGCACGTACTATAAAAGTATTATGCACTGTGCAGGTAATATACTTAATGTTTCTTTAATTTATTGTAGATAATAGGTGACGCATAATAAATTAATATAAAATTATCTTATATTTACAATTTATATATCATTATTATTTCAATCAGATTGATTTCAAGTCAATGTAGGTATACGCGAAACACGGTACAGTAGCACCGTGTAATTTTAATTTTGAAATAATTCGTCTCGTGGCTGAATAATATCAACTTGAGCGGTTTCACCTCACATATTTTGTTCTCACTGGCGACTGAATTGTAATAATATCGTACCTATTCTTGAACACAGTAAACAAAACGATTTTTGTGGCCTCGTATCGGTGTGAATGTCAATTATTTCTAGTGTTGGATTTTGCGAAAGAAACATTATCAGCGTGATCTGTGGTCGTTATTTTCTCTGTATTTTTAAATTACATTTCTGAAGCTACGTATAACGTCGTTTTTAAATGAATGCAAAATCCATACATATAATACTTTGTTTTAAAATCAAAATACATAAGGAAAAAACGTCGACAGATACCAAGCACGGACCTCATATTTTCGTATCTGAATATAGTGAACGGTTTTGTAATCAAGTCTAAGTATTAAACATAAGCTTGAAGTGCGCATTATTGGTCGGAGGCATTTCGAGAGTATATCTTGTATATAATAAGGCAATAAATTGTTTTCGATGGACAGGCGGATGGGTGGTACAACAGAAGGAAAAATTAATTAAATTAAATATACTGCCTCACCACTGTGAAAAATACAAGCGTTTCTGCTCTGATGGATTTTGAAGTTTTTTTGTGACCTCTGTAATATTATACAATCGCACGAATCGACCTGCTGTTCGCTTTATAGGGTTCGGCAAATGTTTTGTGTGAATTATTCGATATGTAGTGCAACGATTACGATTTGTATCGTTATAAAATTTTAATTTATAAGTTATACGTAAAAGTTAGTAGTTACAGCATCGTTATTTCAGTGTAACTATATAAACTAGCAACAGTAGCAAGTAGCAACTATGCATCCTAGCGTATTACACAATACTTTAATATAAATACTATATTATTTAAAGGAAATCTTATGCAAACAGCTGTAGTGGATCACAAATGTGTGACACCGTTACAAATTATAATGTAAACTAGGCAGTATAAATAGGTATAAGAATTCTGAATTGATAATGAGGAAGAAGGTTTATAAACATAATATGATAGTCATCCGGGTATACACACACACACACACACACACACACACACACACACACACACACACACACACACACAACACACACACACAACTGTTTATATAAGATATATAGATCATATATAAGATACACGCCATGTTAAGTTTGTTAGTTCCGGGACAAGTTAAGCAGCCCACGAGCCAACGAATTCCGGATTACCATACTGTTAGTAAGTCTTTCGACATTTGTGTTTTATAAGTAATGTGTACTAATAAAAACGTATAAACTAGAATTTAATATTCCATCTATCTTTTCTGAAGACTCCGAGTTAAGGTTAAAATATAATTCAAAGGGCTCTGAAAATTCTAACTGAATTATCCTAATATAATAGGTTCCCTAACCCCGTTACATATAACTATAGGGTACAATATTGCAACGTCATTTTTATGAAATCTGTTAAGAACATTTTTAGTAAATATATATAGTAAATATATTTTATAAAAATGAAATTTAACAATAAAAGTATATTACAATACACTTTTAAAAACATTTAATAAAAATTATTTATAATTTCTTAAAAAAAATCATCTGGCATCCAAACGCAGTTACTTTCACACTACCTTCTATAAAACGCTATATTTGTCGTCTAAAAAAAGACTTAGGGCTGTTGAAGGTAGTCCAAACTCGATTTAACAGACATTTAAGCTTAAACTCAACAATGCAATAGGTACTAAATGGAAGATTGGAATGTACAATATCGGTTTATGGAGCTCGATAGTGCAATACTATGAAAGAGTAAATCGATCTCATTTTTTCAGATATAGGTACCTCATGGCGGTAGGTAACAATATAATAATTGTTGTGCTCTTTTCGTTGCAGAAAGAGCGGTTTACTTATTTGATGTTAATGGGAGAGAGGTAATATTATATTGTATAATATTATAATATATAAAATTATAATATAATATATTACCTGCGTGATAACTGATAATAACATTAAATCACACTTTTATTGCTGTGGAGTATGGACTATGGATAAGGTACTCCAGGAACGAACAAATTATAGCAATAATATTGGTTATTAATAATAATATAAATGTTAGGTACCTATATTGTTTTAGACTACGAGAGATAAACGGACAACAAACGCGTCGTTATTATTATTTTATATTACATCGATAAAATTATTATATAATAATGTAGCATATTATGCTCAGGGTTTTCCTCTCTCCCTCCGCTATCACGATATCTGACTCTCCGACACACACGACAAACGTTCGGTATCTGTCGTCTTAATCGTCGAACTTTACTCTATCGCGGCCCGCGGACGTCTCTTCGTGCACTGTTTAAACTACGACGGCCGCGTAGCACGAGACAAAGTCAGACAAAAACTTGGTCTCTCGATAAAATCATCACTCAATAATAATAATCTTAATTACCGAAAAAATATTTGTTTAAATTGCCACCGTCGCACAACACGAGTTTCTAAAATGTCAATATTATAATACTGCTGCTACTCACCACATCTCTGCTCCAGATGTCAACTGCTGTTTTTGTCTTTATTTCGGCCGAGTTCATAATAATATCATAATATCTCCGTCGTCGGCCGGCTGCAGATCGCCGTACGAATGCGAATTTATTCGATTGCAATAAGTGGACGTTTAATGACCATCGTCCGATAGAGAGGAAAACACCGACGGGCCTGTCAATTCCATCACACTGCAGCAGGTATGAAAACGTTTCGTTTATTACTTATTATACGATGGTATTCGTTTTATTACGACAGCACATTGAGACACAGACAGTGCACCGTGGTCTTGTCCCAGTCGATGGTTTTGTTATTTTTTTCCCTCTTGTAATCTGTGTAAATAATACACACACTATGACAAAAAAAAAGTTTCTCGTCGTTGTTAATTTTTATTTCAGTTTAAACTTAAAGCTAAAAATATAGGTACATATTTTAACGTATTATTATTTATCACTATTCAAATATAATTCCAGCAGGTAATACCCCATTCATACTCCGCGAGCTTTTTTTTTGTAAATGTCGTTTGTTTAAAAGGATGGCGGCTTGTGTTTGCCGTTCATATTATATGGGCAAAAGTAATACATATAAGTATCAGCATAATAATATACATAATAATGATAATATAATAATATATATATATATATATATATATGTATGAAGAGGACTATAATATGTACTACAGTCGAATACTGCCGCCTACCCATCACAAACACACAAGCCTTACAATATTTAAATGCATTATATATTTATATTATTATACCCGCGGCCCATTCCGTATTAATAACACGGGCACCCCGACTTATTATTATTATTGAGTTAGCTCGTCCCATTATCGCGTACGATAATCATTATAATGATCACCGTCGTGCGACGAATCGGTACAACGACAATAACGAGGGCACGGGCCGCCATGACGTTTTATAATAATAACGATGATAATATGACGAAATCATTACTATTATTATCTTGTCACCGACAGCATGACTGTAGGTCGTATGCAACATAAATGCATGATATGAGTAATATTATTAGTATACATATCACCTCTTCAACTTACTGTCATTAATATTGGCCGAGTACGGACCATTAAATGTTCTGTCAATGTTTTGAACGATGTTAATTTTTCACCAAACATGGAAAAATTAAATAACAGTGAAACTTCCGTACATCAAAATCTAGTGGAAAACACAAAAAAAAATTCGTACTATAGAGAAATTGATTGAGTAGAATTAAATTTGGTTCTCAAAAATATTTCCTCAAAAACACAACATTTTGTTAAACGGAAGTTTCACTGTGTTATATTACGTTTACAATAAGTGGGGTGACTGCAGGAACACGGCTGGAAGATGAATCGATATAATACTATACATAAGACATTGTACATCTTTATAAAATCCATTATTAAAATATAGAACTTAGGTGTTTAAAATATAGTCTGTGCCCCCTATGGTTCGGAAACAACTACGGCCGTGAGATTATAAATTAATAACCAAAGGCGCTATGGGCGCAAACATCTTAAAAGACATCCAACCAAGTTTAAGCCACCGCACAACAATATTGATAGTATACGTAAAAGCGTCAACAATACACAAAAATAAACCAGAAAATTGTGCTAAATATTTTGGTATGTAAAGTTGTTAGGTGTGCGTTATGTCTGAGAGATCGAGATATTTCCCGTTTTCTGTTCAATACGGCCGTAGTAGTTGCCGCGAAGGTTTTACAAAGATACCTTCAACTATATCCTATTTCATAATAATATTATTCACTTGGGTACCCTACCACGGGTTCGATAGGCAGTCGCCAACTTCAACGCAATAAAGTGACGATCAGAAATCCCTAGGTCAAATTCAGTTGACAAGTTTTATTTGACAATGTAACTTTCAGTTTTCATGTCGATATTTTTCCAACACCCGGTCGTTCTAATAATAATATTACTATCGTACGACAGCTGTACCACGTCTATGCGTTTGTCGTAGCAATATAAAACAATATTACTATATTATTTAGTATTATACAGAGTGATTCACCGAGCATGCTCACCCACTTTTTTCTTCTTCAATTATTCAGCTATTCAAAATCTGATTTTTTTTTCGATTTTTAAATAGACCTTAAGACCGTATTTTCAAATTCTTGAGATTTTTTGTATTACTTAAAGAATGCCCTGTGGAGATACAAGCTTTTGTTTTTCAAATGAGAACTACACTTCTATTCAACTATAAACTATACAGTAGATAATTTTTCTGAAATTCAAAATCAAAATCCGTACGTGTGTTTTTGAGTTATTTAACATTGAGTTCTAAGGATAAAATGTCCACTTACAGTAATGAGTTTATAAGATATGAGGACTATGGTGATTTGACAAATTGTAGTCAGTAATATTAATGTATCGATATTAATAATATAATTTGTAAAAATGGTCCAAGTATAATAAATACTAGGTGCAATTATACGTCTATTTTATACTTATGTGAATCCATTTTTAAAGACTATTGTCTTAATACAAACATTTTGTTAACTAAGAAACTACTCATTAGAATTTTGAATGTGGTAGGTGCATCAAAATTTAAAAATTATCCACTAATTAGTTTGTATTAAGAGAGGGGGGTTCTCATTTGAAAAATAGAAGTATTATCACCACATGGCACCCTAAGTAGTTACAAAAAAATTTAAAAATTTGAAAAAAATGGTTTTTAGTATATTTAAAAATTCCAAAAATCAGAATTTGAATAAATTCATTATTAAAGGAAAAATGGGGGTAACCGTGCTTGGTGAATTACCCAGTACATACCGTTTAATCGCAATGCGATAGAATACTGGCTAATCTCGATGAAAATATTTATTTTTTTGTTTTTCAGACACTAACGAGCAGATACGGTTTTAATTGTTGTGAAATTCCTACCACGATGGATAGGAATAACAGAATATACAACTTTGGTCCAGACGGCCGAGACGCGTGTTGGGCTGCATTGTCTAATTCGTGGAGCCGTTGTCAGTATCAGCAAGGTAAATTAAATATAAGTTATAATAAATATTATAATATTTATAACTATCATAATATTATATAACATCAGTGGGATTGGAATTCGGTGGAAACCGGTAGGTATTTTAGTCGTCGATTTTAAGAGACCTTATAGGTACAGTTACTAAATTTATCGCGTCGATAATATGACATGTAATGAAATTGAAATGCTTTCCGCTTGTACTTTGCATCCACGCAACTTGAATACAGTTTCACCGATTTGGCTCTTTTTTTTTTTTTTTGATGTTTGTAATATTTCGAAAGAGGTTTTCAAGGGGAAAAAAATTTTAAAAAGTTACCCGGACATTTTTGAATTTAGTAGAAATTGTTCTTTTTCTTAAATGGTTGAGATATAATTACATATAATATAACTGTCATTATGATTGGATATAATAATTTTGATATTTGATGACTATATTTTTTACCCTCGTTGATCTATCTAAAGTTAATTGACTCAAAAACTATAGTATTCAATAAAAGTTATATCAATATATTCTTTGAGACTTGGAGGGTTAGTTTATGTTTTCAATCCCAAACCTAAGTACCTAGCCAAAAAATAGCTCATGCGTGATTTTTTTTCGGCTCGAGAAATTTTGTTGCCTATTGGTTGAATGGTTACATTTTATTCTACAATTATAATTGATACAAATATGGCATAGGAATAATACAAATCTTTGGTACGAGCAACTTCGATGCGGGACAGTTAGTATTATTAAAATATCAGAACAACACGTGTACGACGTTATCGTGTTGGACTTTTGACCGAAGTACGCACTGACTTAAGTTATGGACGTAATAGGTTTAAATGTAGCATTTACGATACTATATTATTTCACCAGATAAACACATCACCCAAATATTTATATAGGTATGATTACATCATATGTTTGATGGTTATTAAATCAACGAGATTAATATAGTATCATATTATGGAGGTCAGTGGCGCCGAAGTTTTGAAAATTTGGTGACGCAATTTCGAAACTTCGAGGCCTTAATATATCAATTATTTAATATAGAAGTACCTGTGCCCTAATATATATTTACTCATAATCACGGTGACGTGGATTTAATCATAATGAAGTTATGATGTAAATAAAATTTGGCCGTCTGGCCACATTTTTTAAAAAAGCGGTCGGGTCATGGCCCAAAGTTAGCATGGACTTCGGCGCCACTGATGGGGGTATACGTTCAAATAATTTTAAATGATATTAACAAAATATGTTTATTTGGAAAGTTGTAGGATTATCCCACACCTGTAAAAATATTGAAAATGCAATGTTGATCCAACGACGTTTTTTTTTACGTTCCAGCTATTTTCCAATCATGAAATTAAATTATTTGGTATTTAGCAAACCCCTTTACTAAAACCGTTATAGTTATAAAGTACCTAGTATAATATACTATAAATATAATCAATTTCATAACTTATGAGACATAACAAAAAAACCTGGTTTTATTATACAATTTTTTTTTAATTAGGCTCTTTAAAAGCAAAAATATAAAACAGTACATAATATAAAAACATAAAAGTTTAAACAATCAATAAATTTATAAAACAACGTATTTTTACATTTAATAATAAAAATATAATATTTAAACACATTTTTTTAAAATTTTATATCAACATTCTTTTAATTTTTTAAGGAGTTCTGGTTTTTAATCATCCAAATATTTTGAATAACATTTTACTAATATTTTTACAATACGGTAAAATTATAGCTTATTTGGAAAGAAAAAAAATTTCAGTTTCTACAGCAGTTTTATAAAAAATAATTTAGCAGTTTTTGAACTTTTCGTGTATTATGTATATTATTAATACATTTTTTAACATAAAAGAAATAATTTTGATCACATTTACATCAAGTCTTTAGTAACCAATAACTTTGGCTCGTATTTCCCGTAATAATTAGTTGATAGCATCGTGTGGGTATATGTATTTATTATTTTATCATATTTCTCATACAAAGTTTATAAAACGGTAATATTAGTTATTACAGATATTATATATATATATATATTTAAACGCTATTTGTTTAAATATTCTGTTTGGTTTAAGATTTTTAGATAATGTTTAATTTATGCTCATGAAGTTATAGTAGGCACATAAATACATCTCTCAGTAGTTTTTATCAGATTTTAGTCAGTTTGTTGATTAATCAGCATGACTTGTATTATAATATTTTTATGTTTTTACTATGTACAATAAAATAAATTACAGAAACATCAAATACATTAAAAAAATAAAAAATTATGTACATCTGAAATGTTTGGATTGATGAAGTGACTCACTCGAACAGTGATTTATTTTTTCTCGGGGTTTTTAATGTTTAAAATGATTTATCTGCATTACAAAATCCATTTTAACTGGTTATATATTTATACATTGGGTAATGGCAAAAAATATCGTTTTTAAAGCCACTTAAATTAATTTCGAACAAATGTTGATTAAAAGTTTTTAAATAGTTTTAAGCTTTATAGTTGTGTTTTTGTATAGCAGTATAACTCTAATTAACTTATATTATTGTGTTTACGCTATTCGCTATAGTGTACGATTACAGTGCATACTATATTATACACATAGCATTAATCAAAATAAATATATCCTGTTTAACTTGTAGTCCACCGCAAGCACTTCTTTGAAATTTAAAAGGACTCAAATAAGAACATTTTTAAATTAACACAGTACCTACCTCAGTATTATAAATCGTTAGCTAATTTTTTTGTTCAAACAAATACATTACTATTAAATTACTTTTCATTAGAAAATTATATTAATTAACAGTAAGGTGGTTTTACTAAAAGATAATATAAAATGTTATTTTTTTTATGAACGGTGAACACCCCTAGAGGATCACCCTTAACAGAAAAGTCGGCTTAACCAAAATGTGTTTTTAAGCTATACAAACAATATAATATTAATTCTAGAATATAATAAGATAAACATTTTTAATTAAAGCTTACGTTCCAATTATGAAAATTTAAGGAACACAATTTTTAATTCCATTCTAATGATTTTTTTGGAAAAAAGTTTTGAGTATAGTGTAGTGAACTACTGATATAAATGCTTACATTTATTTTGAATAATATGTTTATGTACTGAGTGGTGTCCCGCTACATTATAACACCTGGTCAGTCGTTTTTTAAAGTAATTTTTAGAACAAAATTATTACAGTATTATTATTTATTATTTATAAATGGATGTATTTTGTGGTTTATTTATTTTAATATTTATTTTTTAATTTTTATCATTTAACTACTTCCCGTTGTGTATTTTTGTTTTTAAAGAAGATAATCAATTTGTAGGTCTTATTTTTCTTTTATGTTCAAAAGTTAAATTATTGTTTTCATTGCCTAATTATAAAATATAAACCCAATAAAGCTATAAATAATGTATTCAATTATTATTTTAATTATGAATTAATTAGATTCATAGCTTTATTGTGTTTATTTCTACTCAATCAAATTCAAATCATTAACTAATTTAACATTTGCTCTTTTAAGAAAAATTGATCCTATAAACTGATGATTTCCATTTTTTAAATTTTATATAAAGTTGATAAATGATATAAATAAAATAATAAATGTAAAAACTATAAGTTAAAAATAATAATACTTTCATAACATATAATATTGTCTTGCAAAAATAACTTGTAGAAAAGATGACGAACAAGGTATAATAATATAGTATTACACCACTTCATACAGAAACATATTATTTACAATAAATTTAACATATTTTCTTACAGTTAACTACAGTTTTAATATTTAAAATATTTTTTCAAACTATAAGTCGTTGTATTTTTGAACTTGTATAATTTTATGCGGTGAACTAAATTTAATGATAATGCAAAATGGATATCTAATCATAAAGTAGTAATAAAACCACCGGTCTGGTTTATTTTCTGAATACCTAATTTAAATGGTCTAACATTTAATAAGCCCAAACTAGATAATATCATGTGCATAATTGATAATCATCAAAAACGTATATTACAATATATTAATATACCACATTGTATCCACCTCTTCAGCTATGTTATTGTTGTGTACAAGGGTCAAATAATAAACTAAATAAAATGATAAACGACAGTGTGGTATTAAATAATTTGAGCAATGGTCTAATAGGTTTTTAAAATAATATTCTAACGCATTATAGTAGAGATATCAAATTTGTATCTGTTAAGAATTTTCAAAATAAAAGTTATATGACAAAATATCTTATTGTTCTATGTTAACACTATAGATTTGTTTTATTTTATTTCTGTTTTATTTTTTAACTAACATTATTTAAAGACTTCTTGAGGTTAGGATTTTATAAGAAGTTTGGTTCAATATGATTTACCTACTAAAAAATTATAAACAAAAATTAAATAATATAACCAGGCTAATTACCTTAGTAGTTGAAGCCTTAATTAAAAAAAAAAAATAATAATATGCAAATGTAAGTACACACATCATTCATTTGTATAATTTAACTTATTCTTTGAATGGTACTTAATATTTTATTACACTTTTTGATAAACAATTTGTCATTTTTGCGAAAACAATTTTTAAATATTCATTCATGTGTAACATTCCTTTCAAAAAGTTTTCTTTTTACAAACAAATATAATAATAATAGGTAATTTTATATTCTTATATTATGTATAATATATAATATTATGAAGCATGGCTGTGTAATATAACGGATTTAACTTGTATTCGTGGCATTTGCGAATGTTCACCTATAAATTACTTAACAAATATCATCTTTTTTCTTTTATTGTCCATGGTTATATAATTTAAAAACAACGACTTGCGGGATATACAAGTGAATCGTATTTTGTTCCATACAGAGATGATCAGAAATAACACAAGCGGACAAAATTACGTTCAGGGGAATTTTGGGATTAGGTTTTATAGCCGGTCTCGCCACTATTCCAAATGACCATTATAACTAGGTATTGTTTAATATTATTATATTACGTTTTGTTGGAAACACTTT